AATAGCCAAATTGTGCAGACAGGAAACCAGGGCTGCAAAGCCAAGAAATTTATTTTGAGTTACATTGCCAACAGGGCAGAGCCAGGACTCAGACCCAAAGTCTGCTGGCCCCAAACAGATACTGTTTTCTATTCAGATTTTGTGTAAGCCTTTCTCATGCAAAATTATATTATATTGTCTCATCTAATAATGCAGCTTTATAATAAATTATTGCATTTTTTTTCACTACCGGGGATTGTATCCAGGGCCTTATACATATAAGATGAGCTCTCCACCACTGAGTGGTACCCCCAGCCCCCCATTTTAATCATTTTTATTAATATGTAGGTAGCTATTAAAAATGCTGAAGATTTAACTTTGTTTGTATTTCTTACTCTTTTTTGAGAGTTTGTGTCAGTTAACTTTTCATTGGGGTGACCAATGAAATGACCAATACCTGAAAGAACAACTTATAGGAGGGTAAGTTTATTTCAGGCTCAAAGTTTCAGAGAGTCAGTCCATGGTCGACTGATTCCATTATTCTGGATCTGAGATGAGGGAGAATATCATTGTGGAAGACAGGGCAGAGGGAAGCTGCTCAGCCCATGGCAGCCAAGAAGGGGGGTAGGGAGAGAGAGAGAGAGAGAGAGAGAGAGAGAGAGAGAGAGAGAGAGAGGGGAAGGAGAGAGAGAGAGCGCCCAAACACATGAACTTTGCAGGGGACACCTCATACCCAAACCATAACAAGATTTGTGTTGTGTCTGTGTGCGCATGTGAAGCCAGATTTAAAATTAGGTAGTCAGTGTAGGTAAATCAGGTCTAATATCATAATATCGAGTGAAATCTAAAATGGAGGCCATGCTGATAATGATTCTGGGAAACGCAGGACAACTCATGGAAAGGCCCTAGGCCAAAGTCCACCCCAAAGGAATGTTAATGGAACCCAGGGAACAGCCCCAGCAGATTTGAAGATAGCCCATCCCAAAGAAGTGTTAATGAAGTCCTTCCTGCCCAGATAACCTGTGTCCCAACCCTTCCCCCTACATTCCATCACCAAAACTATAAAAAGGGGAGACAACCGCACTTCCACGGATTCCACCTCTTGGGTCCCCTTCTTCCTCCGGGAGAAGTCTTTTCTGCTGTCCTTTGATAAACTTCTAATTTCTACTCTGACCTTGCCTCGGCGTGCTCTCTGGTGTTATTCTTCAACATTGGGGAAGCAAGGACTCGTCACTGGCCAATAGCGGTAACACATGTACAGTGCCAGGGATAGAAGAGCCAGGGCCTCTTGTACAGTTTCATGTCTTGTTCAATGTGCTTACCACAATGTTTGGCACTTATCCAGTAATAAAGCATCCATTTGTAGTATAGGCCTAACTCTAAAATAGGAATAATGATGGTACCTATCACCTAGGGTTGTTGTGATTATTAAATGAGTAAAATATTTAGAATGCTGACTAAAAGAATAAGTACTCAGTAAGTATTCACTGTAAATTACTGTTAGTCTTTAGGTTGAACCATTTGAAATGGTAATTTTTATAGGCCAAAGTTTGACAAAACCAGCAATTTCATATGGCTCAACCTGTATCTTTCAGAGGAAGTGACAGGCAGAAGAAAATGGTTAGAAGTATGTTTACTTGAGCATATTGTTTTTCAATATTGCATTTAACTTCCATATTTCCATGTTTTAATGTATTATTTCCTATTCTTTGAAAAAAAAATCCTTTAAAGGGATTGACTGGAACATAGATATTCTTTTATGCATTTACATCTCCAAAGTCTTCAAATCTTTAATTTTGTTCCTGAATTTCACAAGAATAACTTTTTTTCAATATTTTAAGAATATTCTAAAATGTCAAACCTGTAACAGAATATAAAACCATCATAGAATATAATATTTGTTATAGGGTTGTTTCATTATTTTACACTGATTTATGCAGAAATGTCCTTCCTTCCTTCCTTCCTTCCTTCCTTCCTTCCTTCCTTCCTTCCTTCCTTCCTTCCTTCCGTGGTGCCGGAATTGAACCCAGGGCCTGTATATGCAAGGCAAGCACTCTACTATGCAGCTATATCCCCAGGAAAGTATTCTTAAAAAGTCTTATTTAAATCTCAAAGTGAAATGACAAAGTTAAATGAATCCAACTGAGAACTGGCCATTTAAAGAATAAGGACATTTGTGACTAACCTAAAATATCTACTCAACTGCAACAACTACAAGTATTACTACTTCTTTATTTTTTGGCATGGGGTGGGGGATTGAACCCAGGGGTGCTTTATCACTGATCCACATCCTCACCCCCCCCCTTTTTTTAAGAGAGGAGAGAGAGAGAGAGAGAGAGAGAGAGAGAGAGAGAGAGAGAGAGAGAATTTTTAATATTTATTTTTTAGTTCTCGGCGGACACAACATCTTTGTTGGTATGTGGTGCTGAGGATCGAACCCGGGCCGCACGCATGCCAGGCGAGCGCGCTACCGCTTGAGCCACATCCCCAGCCCCCTCACCCCTTTTTATTTTGTATTTTGAGACAGGGTCTTGCTAAGTTGCTGAGGCTGGTCTCAAATGTGTGATCCTTCTGCCTCAGGCTCCTGAGCTGCTGGGATATCAGGCATGTGCCTCGGTGCCCAGCATCTACACCCCTTTTTATGCATCACCTTGAACTTCAAATTTACCCTATGAAGCCCTAGCAAAGGAATAATATTCTTATTCTGATTTCACAGATTAAAAGGCTTATAAGAAATAACGGGCCCAGGCCACCCTGTCCTTTGAAGCCTTTCAATATGTAATCTGGGCACGTACAGTTCACCTTCTAGCCACCTCACAGGGAACAAGGGAGTGGGTCACGAACCAACACAGCTAACTGACCCGGAAGAGAAATTCCTGAGGTGCCTGTGGCCCAGAGACTGCCAATGTCCCCAGGGAAAAATTCCCACACCATGATGGGAAATGTCTTCAACTTGTTGAGGGCCACCGCTGAGTCAGGATGACGCATGGCATGCAATGGTTGAGAGGTGGCACCAACAAGCCATTGAGATGATGATGGTTTTGTTAAGCTGTGTATTCAATTGTATATTTGACCTTTACAATAGCGTCGGGGTGCTACTTTGGAGTTCCCCGTGGAGTTGAGAGTGTTCCTGGAGTGCTGGTGGAGTTCAGACAATAAAGCTTCCTGTTTGAAGATACAAGTGCTTTGTGGCGGCTGGTGATTTGTGCCCTGCCAGACTGTGGCAGGAACTGTCACAAACCATTTGTCCAATGCATTTCTTAGTGCAAAAGAGTATGCTTATTAGATAAATAACCTAAAAAAATTGTTGAGGTTAGGGTGAAAAAACACTGGCCAATTGGCACCGCTTACTGCTAAGGAGATGGATGTTGGATGCACATCACATGTATTTTTTTTTTTAAATATTTATTTCTTAGTTTTTGGCGGACACAACATCTTTGTTTGTATGTGGTGCTGAGGGTCGAACCCGGGCCGCACGCATGTCAGGCGAGCGCGCTACCGCTTGAGCCACATCCCCAGCCCTGTCACATGTATTTTCTAACCGAATTTCTTTATGGACAATCAAGGAACTCTTCTAATGAATTTCTGATGCACGCGCCATCACCCCCTGCCCCAACCACCTAGTCCTCAAACTTTGGTGCCTCCGCAGTCTCTGTGTGTTCTGGTACCGTGCCTTCCACACCTTAGACACTCCGAACTTGGCCACCATCTCACACACTCACAGCCAGAACTGGGCCGTAATGCCACAGGTCACCAGCAGATGTCGCAGCCTCAACACTTGACTGGGCCAATTTTCAAAAATGACTAATGAGCCAATCGGCAGCGATTGAGTGCCTTCTGTATACTTAGTGAGCATTATGATAGGCGCTTCAAGTCAACCTCTTGCCAGTTGACTCCGGTGAGAAATGGTTTACAGTCAGGATTCAATTCGTTAAATCGTATATTGTGCTTGAACAAGGACCGGGTAGTGGTGTGGAAATTATTACAGGTTGTGATCAAGTGGCAAAGACTAGCCTGGAACTAAGGCTCTGGAGCCTCCATCTTCGCTCCGCTTGTCTCGCACCGCTTTTGTCTCAGCATGGGGATCCCGCCCTGGGGCTTTCCTTCCATCCAACTAGGGAGCCTTGCCCCCTTTTCTGTACCCTGTCAACTGCTATGCACCTAGGGCTGGTATCTGGCTGCCCTCCACTGAGTGGCAAGGTGGTGTTAGTCTGGAGGGTGAAGGGTGGGTAGAGTCACAGCCGGGGTGTGGCCAGGTTTGTGCGACCACATCCCCGGGTTCCTGCAGGAACTTCCAGAAGGCAGGTGGCCCCGAAGGTGGCACAGGTGGGGCTCAAGAGGCAGCCCTTTTACAGTCTAAACTCAACATAAAGTTTCCTCCTTTGGCCTCTGGGCCTGAGCCCCGCCCCACCTGCCCTGGGCCAACCCCAGCACCCCGTGGTCGCGGGCACTTTTCTGGCACCTGGCACAGCCGTGAGGGGCGCGGATTGGGCTCCCCAGCCACGAGCCTGGGCGGGGCCTCTAGGCAGCATCTGGGGGTTGCACCTGCCGGGACCCTGCGCCGCGTGCGTGCGGCGGCCCGCGGCGGCTTCGCAGGGCAGGCGTCCAGCTCCCAGCGCGCACCGGTGCCCACGCGCCCCAAGCCAGCACGTGGCGTCCGGGGCCCGCCGCAGGCGCACGCGCGCAGGGAGGCGCCACGTGCTGCGGCCCCACGCGCGGGACGGCTGCGCTCGGCGGGGCCCACGTGCGGGGAGCCGGGCCCGGGGCTCCCAAATCCGCACGCGTGCGGGCCGCCGGCGCCCAGCGCAGCCTCCCCGCGCCGGGCTCGGGAGCAGGCACCGCGAGGCGGCGCGCCGGCCGCCCAGGGCCGCCGAGGGGCGGGGCCGCCCGCATTGTTCCTCCCCGAGCGGCGGGCCCTCCCCTTCCCCCAGCCCCGGGCGGGGCGCGGGGCCGCCGGAGCCGCGGAACGTGGGCTCGCGCGCCCCGCCTTTGTCTCCCGGGCGCGAGCCGCCGCAGCCCCGCGCCCGCCGCTCGCTGCCGGAGCCGCTTTGTGCCGCGGCGCGGGGGACGCGGACGCGGGGCGCGGAGCCGGGGGGCGCAGCCTCAGCATGGACGTGACCGTCTCGGAGCTCATGGAGCTCTTCCTACAGAGCCCGCTGGTGACCTGGGTGAGTGCGCCGCCTCCCCGCCTCTTTGTTGGTGCCCTGGCTCCTCTCCTGCCGGGCCGGGGTGCCCACCCGGACGCAGGGGACACAGCAGGTGGCCGCCGGCCGCGGTGGGGTTGGGCGTCCTGCAGTTCGGGGGCGCTGGGCTGCGCGCTCGCGGCTGGGCCAGGGGCGGAGCGGGTACACCTGTTCCCGCTGGGCGCTGGGCTGGCGGCCCCGGGGCCGACGGGGTCCGAGTGGTCCTTCCCGAAACGGACCCAGCTTGCTCTCCGCAAAATACCCTGGTGGGTTTCTGAACCCCTAGACCAGCCGGTGGGTGGCGGTGACGGGTGGGGAATGGGGGACGCCAAGTGGGAACGTGAACAGGCTGGGGTGGGCGCACTGCTTTCCAGTGGATCTGAGACGTGAGAAATTTATTGAAAAGTCCCCCCTTATCCTCCGCGCTCTCGGACGCTGGAGAAAAGTGCCCAGGAAGTTTTCCTCCTCCTGCCTCGCGCCGTTGCCCGGAGCGGCGAGGGGACAGAGGCCCTGGGAGAAGGGTAGGCTCGGTGCCTGCTGAAGTGTGCAGGGGCGTGGGTGATCCCCTTCTGTCCACACCAACCCAACCGCCTTTGCCCGAGGAGCGTTCGGTGTTTTGTGCCCTTGAGTGACTTCCTGCCTTTCTCTTTTTCTCTGCTCTTCCACCTCCCGGCAGGTGAAAACTTTTGGCTCGTTTGGAAGCGGCAACCAGGACAACTTGAGTCTGTATATGGATTTAGTGGACGGCATCCTTTTGAACCAAATCATGTTGCAAATGTAAGTTGCCTTCTTCAGAGAAGAGGGAAAGGATGATGCTGTAGAAATTTAAGATTGTAAATGTGGAATGCAAGGTGGCTAGGGAGGGGCTGCCTGTTGGAGGGACACCCATATCTCAGTGTTACAGGGCGCTTTTACAGCTTTCTTGGTTGTGTAAAGACCTCCATCCAGGACTGTGCTCTGGTTGCTTGTTGGATGAAGGAAATTTGGAGTGGACTGTCATTCACGAGGTGTAGATAGTGCGATTGACTTCAAACTCAAGGACTTAACTGTGGTTTGAGCAATGAAATGAAAAAGCCCCTTTTCTTTTGGGGGGCACTGAACTGTAACGGAGAGTGTCTTGTTACAGGAAGTGTCAGGGGTGGGCTGAGAGCATCCTAGTGTGACTATTAAGTTTCACTTTAGGTTAGGACTCTGCCTGAGTTCCCTTGGGTTTTCTTTTTCAGTTGATTCCAGAGCAAGTGCAGTTGATTAAGTCCCTTTGCATGAAATGGATTTAGAGTCAGTCCGTTAGGAGATGCACAGGGAGTTGGATCCAGGGAACTGTTTGTTTGGAAGCATGCGACTTAAGCAAGGTCTTGGTAGAAGTTGACTTGCTAGTGTATATGTCTGACCACATCCTTTCCTGTTGCTGAGTTCTTCAGAGCCTGTCTGCATTTGATTGACAGCCTGTCACAATGTAGGTGTTGGCTCCTACAGCTGCATTCTGTTTTTAACTCAGAAGCTGCAACGAACATATTGGAACTGAGAGTCAGTGTGATTCACAGTCACTTGAAGCAGAATGAAACACCCTGATGTTCTCTGTGGGTCAGCTCCTTACTCTTACCTCCTTACCTATGAACGAGCGCATTGTCATATTTGAGCATAAATCCAGTAGCTACTGGGAATCAGCTTCGTTTGTGGCCAGCGAAGGAGAATGAACAGTTTGCTTTGGCATATCCAGAAAGATATAAATAAAAGATAGGTAATAGATTCTACCTAAAAAGGTCTGTTCAAAACATTTTCCTGTTACATTGTTTCTTTTGTTTTCTTGTCATTTGGTGTCATGCTGTGGGAGAGACCCTGCCATCTTAAAATATAAGGTGCTTCTAATCTCACTGGTCTTCAGTATTTGATTAGCTTCGAAAAAGACACATCTATTGTCAGCGTTGGCTGTGCTTCTCAGAGAACCTTGATGAAATGAGTTTTCCTGGGGCAGCAGAGCTCTGGCAGTCCTCCCCACATTCTGCTGGACTCCCCAGATTGCTGGGTTTCATTGGTGTCATGACCAAACTTCAACCTGTCCTTACCCAAGTGAGCCTGAGACTGTTTAATTAAAAAAACCAGCGGTGTCGCCTCCTTTTCATTCAGCTTTACGCCCTGGCAGCCCGGGAGAACAAAAGCCCTGGGACTGTTTCTCTTTTCTTCCCTGACCTTTGGAATTCCTGAAGCGTTTACCACTTGCTTGTAAATCAGGAAAGCCTGTTGGACCATTCCTTTGAGAAATGCCAGCTCATCACTTGTTCGCATTTGGCCTGCAGCTAAATGGGGCTGAAGGGCTGCTCCCCTCCCCTGGCAATTTTCAATGATATTTTTTTCCTCTGCGATAAGCCAAGGTGATCATTCTGGAAGTGGGAATCTGGTGTGCTTGTGGCTCTCCTGGGTCCCTCCAGCTGGATCAGGCGTGAGGAAGGTGATGAGAGGCTTTCCAGGAGGAGGACAGCGGAGAGAGTGGGTGGGCACAGGACCCCAACAGCACAAGGTGTCCTACTTGGGGGTCAGGGGTCAGAGTCTGTCTGGAAGTGGTTGCCAATTGGGACCTTTGGAGTGGAGGGTGTTTGAAGTGATCTTTAGAATACATTTCACTTTCCTAAATGCCTCAAACTGGGACTTAAAACAGCTGTAGGGCCTGGTGGCGCTGGCCTGTAATCCCAGCTCTGGAGGCTGAAGCAGGAGAATTGCAAGTTTGAGGCCAGCCCCAGCAACTTAACAAGGCCCTAGTATAAAAAATAAGGGCTGGGGATGTGGCTCAGTGGTTAAGTGTCTCTGGGTTTGATCCGGTTACCAAGGGGGGGAAAAACACCATTTCACTCTGTAAAAGTTACTGTGGTTTATTAAGAAATAGGGGTTGGGGCTCAGGCTCAGGCTCAGTGGTAGAGCGTCTGCCTAGCTTGGGCAAGGCCCTGGGTTCAATCCCCAGGACCATAGAAGTTAGATAAGTAGAACTCATGCCCCACTATTGGACAGCCTAGGTGGCCAGCCTGGGTTTGAACCCTAGGTCTCTTTCCTGCTAGCAGTGTGACATGGGACATGCCACTTGGTGCCTCCGTTTCCCATCTGTGACTTGGGAAGAAGTACAGTTCTTCCGTGGAGCGCTGGTTGTCGGCTCTTGTGAGACGCTGTGCCAGCTCTGGGCCCAGGGCTCCTGCTCCGTTACAGTCCAGAAAAGGTCAGAGGCTCCCCATTCGAGTTTGTGTTTCAGTCTGCCTTTCCCCCACATTCTCAGTCCCTAAAGGGCCGTAGGATTCTCAGCCTCCGCTCTCTCCCGATGAGGTCTGAAGTGAAGCTGGACCTGGGCAGAAGGCCTGGCCCCACATCCAATTCTGTACTTCAGCCGGGCCTCAGTTTTCCCTCTGCCAAGTGGAGAAATGTCAGGCTAAGGCGCAGGTAAGCCTTATCTCCTGTGCTGGGAGCCCAAGACCGTGAGCTGGCCACCCTGATAAATGCTCCCCAAGTTGGTGGGCCCCAGGAAATGGCAGAGCAGTTTTGCTGGCTGGGTTGCACAGGGGGTGGCAGATAAGAGGCTGTTACCTAACACTCTGGAGCCATCTGGAGGCTGGTTAGAGGTGGGGTCATGTGACCGCACCTGGCCATTGTCTCTGGCAACCCTAGAAGGCTGTGGTAGTAGTCTCTTGGCCCTGTCCTCCTGGTGACATCAGTGTCACCTAGAAGCAGGAAAGCCCTATGGGCTCAGCTTTCAGGGGAGGCCCAGGTACAGGAAAGTTCCTGAATGAGAGTGTGACATTCAGTGGCCTGGCAGGGGATGCCCTGGAGAGCCTGTGACTAGGTCCTAAGTAAGCACCTTCTGTGGGCAAGGATGGATTCACTTTGGATATGGTTTGGATTCTTTTGTAGGAAATTGCTTTAGAGCCTTGACCTTAGCGTCCGGCAGATGAATTCGTATCGTTATCCTGCCATTATTGGTTTTGTTAGGTTGGACAAATTACTCTAACCTTCCGAGTCTCCGTTTCCTGATCAGTGATAAAGGGGTGGTAGATCATAGGTTAGGGAGGAGTAAATAAGATGATGCATACATAAATGTCCCACGGCAGCTGTCAGTCACTGTGGTCCTCAGGAGGCCAGGGGCTTGGTTTGTGCGCATGTGCTCATCTGTGCCCCTGTGCAGCTGTGCCATGAGGGGAGGTGCCGATGGTTTGGATGTCTAGTGCAGCGGGAAACTGGGGGCTCAGGCCGGGAGCTTGTGCCCCCACGTAGCTGGCAGTAAATTCAACTCTTTGTTCAGGTTCCTTTCTGACTCTTTGTGCTAGTTGCAAAATTCAGGGTAATACATTAATCATTTGGAGGTTGGAAGCATCCTTAGGCCAATGAGGAGTTTCTTCAGTTTCTAAAAAGCATTTAAAGGCTAATTTCCGCCCCCAGTGCCTCCCAGAGGAGTTCATATTCCCATTTTGCAGATGCAGAAGCCGAGGATAAAAGGGCAAATACCTGTTGAGTGAATGAGTTTGTGTTGTGCAAAAATGGTGGAGCAAAAAGGTTTTTCCTTGGGAATGAATGTAAGCAATCCTCCCACCCCTTTAATTTTCCATGGTGCTGGGGATAGAGCCCAGGGCCTCCTCAGGTGCTCTACCACTGAGCTACATCCCGGCCCAGTAATTTCCTTTTTTGGTTGTAGCACATAAATAACAATCTTCAAGAGGGCTTTGAGTCCTTAAAAATTACATAAAAAGTTTATGTCCACTGTAGGAGAATAGGAGCATACAGAGGAGCAGAGTAAAAATCATCTATAATTTTGTGATGTAGCAGTAGCAGTGTTAATATTCTGGTTCCTCCCAGATGTTGTGTAAAGTGTGTATTGATTTTTATATGCATATGGACACATGCTACATCTTCTTATCTTTTTTTTTTTAACCTGTGATATACTGCAGACATCTCTCTATTGGAAATCCATAGTTTCTTCTTTTTTAAAAAAAAAAAAACAATTTTTTTAAAAAATTGGTTCTACTTAGTTATACATGACAGCAGAATGCATTTCAATTCGTTGTACACAGAGCACAACATTTCAATTCAGTGGTTATACACAATGTAGAGTCACACCATTTGTGCAGTCATACTTGTCCCTAGGGTAATGATGTCGTCTCATTCCACATCTTTCCTGCCCCATGACCCCTCCCCTTCCCACCCTCCCCTTTGCCCAATCCAAACTTTAACAATTCAATTTTTTATACCTTTATTTTGTTTATATGTGGTGTTGAGAATTGAACCCAGGGCCTCACACTAGGCAGGCACTCTACCACTGAGCCACAACCCCAGCCCCCACAATTTTTATTTATTTAATTTGTTACACATGGCAGCAGAATGTATTTCAATTCATAATACACATATAGAGCACAAGATTTCATGTCTTTGGTTGTTCACAAAGTAGAGTCACATCATTTGAGTCTTAATTTATGTACTTAGGGTAATGATGTCCATGTCATTCCACTTGTCTTTCCTACCCCCATGTCTCCTCCATTCCCCTCCCTCCCCTTTGCCCTATCTGAAGTTCCTCCATTCCTCCCATGTTCCTCAACCCCATCCCCATTATGGATCAGCATCCACATATCAGAGAAAATATTCGGCCTTTGTTTTTTGGGATTGGCTTACTTCACTTTGCAGAATATTCTCCAGCTCCATCCATTTACCTACAAATGCCATCATTTTATTCTCTTTTAATGCTGAGTAATATTCCATTGTGTATATATACCACAATTTCTTTATCCATTCATCTATTGAAGGGCATCTGGATTGGTTCCACAATTTAGCTATTGTGACTTTTGCTGCTGTAAACATTGATGTGGCTGCGTCACTATACTATGCTGTTTTTAAGTATTTTGAGTATAAATTGAGGAGTGGGATAGTTGGGTCAAAGGGTGGTTCCATTCCAAGTTTTCCAAGGAATCTCCATACTGCTTTCCATATTGGTTGTACCCATTTGCAGTCCCACCAGCAGTTTTGAGTGTGCCTTTTTCCCCACATCCACGCCAACACTTAATGTTGGTTTTTTTTTTTTTGGCACTCAACCACTGAGCCCCATCCCCAGCCCTATTTTGTATTTTATTTAGAGACGGGGTCTCACTGAGTTGCTTAGTGCCTTGCCATTGCTGAGGCCGGCTTTGAACTCCCTGAGCCGCTGGGATTACAGGCCTGCACCACTGCACCTGACTCCCCACAGTTTTTTGACTCAGCTTAAATTTGGGAAGTCTCTTGAATGTTTCCAAAACTTAGATACTTGCTTTCCCTAAGGAGGGGACAAGGTTGCTGTAATCCTAAATTCTAACCCTCTTTTAGAGTCTAGCAAGAGTTGACTTCCTTTTTTCTAGTTAGAAGTTTTTATGCAATTGAGGGCCTGGGGGCCCCACACCTTGAACTTGGAACTCCCTAACATGGGGCCAGCTGCCCCACGGATGTGTCTCTTTCCTGTCCTCTGAGGTCCTGTTGCAGCACTAGGGTTTTTATGTCCTGGGGCCGTGGTGTAAAAGATCTCTGCTTAGTTAGTGGCAGCTTTTGGGGGTGTGGTGCGGTAGCTATGACCTGATTTTCCTGGCATAGAAGCCCAGTCCAGACTGGCCACCAGCTGTGGCTTCATGGAATGATGTCCTTCAGGGCTGGAAGGATCCTGTGGCCATTTTGCAGATGAGCACACTGAGGCCCAGAGAATTGTGGCCGGCCTTGGAGCCTGGACTGCAATCTGTCTGTGCCTCTGGCTCCCACTTTGTGCAGCCCAGAGAGGTGGGAGTTGTGGGGGTGCTGGGCGGGTGGAACCCGGCTTCCTTCACCAGGGTGGAGCCTTTGGTCTTCATTTGTTTCCTAATAACCTCTCTTCACCCGAGAGCTTTAGTTAAATGAGGGAGTACTAATGATCACAGTCATTAGTCTAATTAGTCATACAGCAAATGTCAAGGTTTCCTTGGAATGTTGTTTCAATTAGTTCTTTCTTCCCAGAATTGGGGAGAACGAAAGCAGGGATGATCTGAAGCAGCCGTGGTGTGATGTGAGGGACACCTGGGTCCCTGGCCCTGGATGCTCACAGTGCCTTTGCCCGCGTGGAGGATTTGTGCAGTGAATGCCGAGCTTTGGGCCCTGGCACTCTGGGGTGGCCTTGTCTGCCTCACACGGGTCTGGTACTGCAGTAGCGGTATGGCAATAAAAGCCCTGCTTGCTCTCTGAGCGCTGCTCTGTTAAGCAGTGTGTTGTCACTATGGAATCGCTTCTCATCTCTTAAGGTAGCTACAGTCAAGGGAGGAGAATTGCACCTGGAAGAAAAATTATTTTGAAATGCTAGAACACTCTGTAGCTGAAATGCCTTTGTGGTTAAATTCTGAATGCCACCTCTTTTCCTAAATTAATTTCAATGGAACTGTAAACCTTTATTTTCTCTGTAATGAATGGCTCTAGGAGAAACGTGGAACATGTAAATGACTTGGCCAGACTCCATCACTGTGCAGGGACAGTGACAATTAGAAAGAGGTCTTCTGGTCGCCCCAGTGTGGCTGTTTTAGCAGATATGGGATGACTGAATAAGTCCATGGCTGGTTATGGCACGTGAAGGGTTTGCACGCTCTGGACACTGCTGAAACGCACCGTGTATGTGTCAAATATTTACTTAAAGGTTGAACTTTAAACAGCTTGTTTTACAAAAAAGCATTATACTTCCAATGACATTTGACATGATTTTGATGTGTAGGGTTTTTCCTTCTATTCCTCAATTTTCCATTAATTGCTGGCTTTAAAGGAGCCAGTCGGCCTGAGACTCTCTTCCTCCACTCCCCACACCAGCCCCCGGGAGGCCCTGCGCTTTTATCATTGTGTGTGGATGACAGATGAAACCCCACAGGCGGGCTTCGCGTTCCATGTCAGTCCTTGGAGGTGTCTTGGGACAGGGACTGGAGGGGAAGCCTTCGTCAGGAAAAGCAGGGCAGCTGAGGAAGGTGGGCGCTGAATCTGGCCCCTGGACCTAGCCATTGGCCGACACAGAGGCCCTGCACGTAGGTGGGAGAGATTCCAGATCACGGGGTGTAGCCTTCCAGCTCCGTCCTGGCCAGACCTCCCCTCTGCCTGAGGTTGGAAAACAAACGAGTCTTGGGGGGTCCCCTCAGGGGTGACTTGCCCCCTAGCGTTTCTCATGGGGGCATTGTACACTGGGCAGTGCCTTAGACTGGGTATATCCATTTCTAGACATAATCATGTTTCTTATTTTTCTTGATATTTCACTTACTTGGCTTAGTTTTTATTTTATTTATTTTTGGCACTGGAGATTAAACCCCAGGGCACTCTACCACTGAGCTGCTTGCCCAGCCCTCTTTATATTTTACTTTGAGGGGCAGGGTCTTGCTGTGTTGCTGAGGGTCTCCCTAAGTTGGTGAGGCTGGCCTTGAACTTAGGATCTTCCTGCTGCGGCCTCTCATGTTGACGGGATTCCAGGCGTGTGCCACTGGGCCCAGTGTTGGTTATTGATCTCTATACAGTGTGACAGTGGGTCTTCATTGACGTGTGACTGTCCTTATGGTGCCAATAACAGTAGGGGTGGAAGCAGCCTGATGAGGGCTGCGGCGGCCCAGTGCCTGGGTGGGCAGGGGAAGGGGAGGCGCTCCCAGAGTCCTGGCTTGGCCCCGGCAGTTAGGATCTGGCTTGAACTGCCCTGTCACAACCTCATAGTCAACAGGGCCTCACGAGGCTCAGGGGACTGGAGGACTGAAGGGTGGTGGAGACTGGGGAAGGAAGTGTGACACGGGCCAGGAGGTGCGATTTCCACTGTCCTGTTTCTTCCCACAGAGACCCCCGGCCCACCAATCAGCGCATCCACAGGCACGTCAACAACGACGTGAACCTTCGCATCCAGAACCTGACCATCCTGGTGAGAAGCATCAAGACCTACTACCAGGTAGGGCGGGCCTCCTTCTGGAGCTCCTCCTCGTGGGAAGCCCAGGGCCGTGGTGGCCTGGGGAAGCTGCTTGCTGAGCCCTCCTGTGGGCGTTGTGGGAGGCTGAGCTGCTGCCCGGCCTCAGCGCAGTGGGTGGGTTCGCGCCCCTGACTGCGAGGGCCCAGGGAGCCTCGGTCTTCAGCTTGGGAACTTGCCGGAAGGGGATTATTGTCCATGCGCCTGGCTCTGTGACTCTTAGAGGAGCCATACGAGGGTGGACGGGGAGAAGGGACCACGTTTGGGCTATGCAGGGGCCAGGGAGGGGGCCAGTGTATCTCCAGGTGGCCAGCTGGGGCGCCAGGCTTCGGAGGAGAAGGCGTTTCCCGAGGCCCCTGGGTCTGATCAGCGTGCTTGAGGGGTGAGACGGGCTGACGGAGGGTCTGCCCCAGCCTTCGGAGGGCCAGCCAAGAACCTGTGACCAAGTACATGATCTCTGCATGGCTGGTAGCGATAGGAAGTGGACTGCAGCCGTGGACCTCGGGAGGCTGGTCTTCGAGCCTTTTCTTAGCAGTGAAACACTCTTCCCTGTGTGATTTTTCTTGAGGCCCCAGGTGAAGGGGTGGTCACTCTGGTTGTCTTGGGGGTTGGGGGACCAAGTGCTTTCTGCTCAGTCACAGTGGCCTCTTCTCCTCCTAGGACCCCAGGGAAATGGTATGAGAACCTCAGCTCAAGAACAGGCCTCTGACAGATTCATGCCAGGTTTCAGCATGTCCAGGGCCAGCCCTGCTCTGAGACCTGTTCCTAGCACTCAGCTCCTTCAGCATCACCTTGGGAGCTTCAAACCAGTCTGTCCTTTAGTTACAGAGGACTGAGGAGGAGACTGGCGCTCAGGAGGGAGGCCCCAGAGTTCATTCTGGGAACCAGAGTGGGTTTGTTTCCTTATCCGTGGGAGCCGTGTTCTGGCTAGACATGCGGTAGGCAGGGGCATTGCAGCTAAGGCCTCCCTGTGTCCACTGGGCAAAGGCGATTGTGTTGCCTGTGACTTGGCATCTGGGGCAAGGGCTCTGGGGGCTGCACTGGCGTCCAGCAGGTGCTCGGGGCATGGCCCTGTGTGCAGGTGCTGTGTGTGGGGAGCAGGCCCTCCTGGTGCTGTGCCAGGTGCCTGAGAGCAGATGGTGCTGAGGTTCAGGAGAGGAGACCCCAGTCCAGCCTGGGGGTGGAGGGAGGTCGGGAATGCTTCTTGGAGGAGGTGACACCTGAGATAGACTTTGTGGGCAACTGAGTTTCTGGGTTCAGAGGGTCATGGGAAGGAGAGAGCAGGGCAAGGGGTGTGGGTAGGAGCCAGGAGGTGCAGGAGCATCCTGTTCTGATGCTGTCAGCATTTTCTGGCTACTTGGATGAAGGCTGCTTATCAAATTTCAGATGAGCTGGCCTCGGTGGCGCATGCCTATAATCCCAGCAACTTGGGAGGCAGGAGGATTGAGAATTCAAACCCAGCCTCAGCAACTTAGCAAGGCTGTGAGCAACTCAGCAAGACCCTGCCCCTCAAAAATATGAGAAAGGGCTGGGGATTTTGCTTGGTGGTTAAGCGCCCCTGGGTTTAATCCCTGGTACCAAAAATCCCATTTTTTTTTTCAGATGACTCAAAGCTGGGCAGGATGTGGACATGAGAGAGACGTGAATTCAGGGTTCAGAAGGGGCTGCAGGGCTGGCCAGAGCCAGCGGCACACTCTAGTAGGCGCTCTCTGGCCCAGGTGTGCCTGATAGGGGAAGCGTCTCCTCCAGCAGCTGTGCAGTGCTCAGGCAGAGGTGGGGTATCCGCAGCCCTCCAAGAACCGTGTGGAGCGCCCAGCTCTTGCGCAGCTCAGGCCATACCGGTGCTGTGCAGGCCTCATGCTGTTGGTGGCCAGCTGCTCTGAGGTCCAGGTCTGGGCTGGACCCAGGGCAGATAGTGTCTGTTTGAGAGGCAGTTTGCTGCTCTGGGTGCTGTGTAGAGCCGCAGAAGACGTGAAATGATCACATGAAGGAAGCAAAGGCCAGTCCAGACTTGGACCCAGAAGGACTGGGAAGTGAGAGAGAGGACCCTGCACCCCAGTTCTCCACCCTCTGCCCTGTGGCTATTTGAGGGTAGGGCTGGTGTGTGTGTTGGCAAAGGGCAGCCCAAGTGGTCACTGCCTCCCAGCCTGCTCGCTTGGAGAAACCCAACCCAGCAAGACGCGAGTGTTCAGGGCCCTGTGCGTTCAGAGTGGACAGTGTTCTGCTGTGTATCTTTTCTTTCTGATTTATGGCAAAATAAAGTTCAGTTCTCATGGTGAAAGTTGCATGTCCTCTTTGTGAACAGCTTAGAAAATAAGTAGCCAGAAATCCAAACCACCCCCGAGCCCACCCCTGTTCCTGGGAGACAATCGCTGTGACCATTTTTTAGTGCTTCCTCTCAGTTCTCGAGTGAATGGTTTTTGTTTTATGTCATTGTGGCCCTGCCATATATACAATTGCATATCCTGCCATTCCCCCGTCCCCCTGACCTGGCGTGACTGCGCAGGGGAATACCGCAGACACTTCCCAGAGGACCGCTCAGCCTCCCCAGTGGAAGGTGGAATGCCTGGGATGGGTGGGGTGGGGGAGAGGTTGCCCCTGTGGGTAGGACTCCCCTTTGGGAGCTTTTTGGCAGACACATTCTGCCACCTGCCCTGGGTCTTGTCCTGCAGGAGACTGTTCTACTCCCTGCTCTTACTTCCTTTTCTGCAGCCCAGTAGAGGAGGGGCCATTGGAAAGATGGGGTCTCTCCTGAAGAACATGGGCTTCTTTTGCAAGAAAGCTGAACTTGACCTCTGACAGTCTGCTGAAACAAAGGGCTCTTGCCGTTTTTCTGGGGTGTAGGGCAGTGTGGCTGGGACCCTGAGGACCACCAATAATCCCAGTCTCACTCCTCCTCCTGACCTGCTGCCCTGGGCTCTGCTGGGGTCAGGGCTCTGGATTTGCATTTTTGAATGCTCCCTAGCTGCTAGGCAGGACAGCTGCTCAGTGGTTCCAGCCAGCGGGGGGCCTTGTTAGAAGTGCAGGTCTTTAGGCCTCACGCCTGCCGTGGAGGTCAGGAGTCTGTTTTTATCAAGCCCCAGGTGATAAGCACCCCCACACCTGGTCAGAGCATTTCTAATGAGTCTCAGTCACTTCTAGCCCAACCTCCTGTGGCAGAGGGAGCTCAGTTCTCCAGGGGACTCTTCTTCGTCACCTACACATCTCCTGGTTCCTGGATGGGAAGGCCTGGTCCCACCAGCCATCTGAGGAGGGAAGGGAAAGGAAGGGGACGAGAGGGAGCTTGCTTTCTTTGTCTTTTTTAAGGGATGGTAGCACTAGGATTTATTACGATGTGCCTTAATACAGGCGCTGGGGCTTGCCCATGGTGCACTTGATGTATAAAGCCCGGACATTCTGCCAATTCTTCTTGAGCAATGACACCAGGAAGTTGACAGTCAGGTGGATGTTGTACACAAGCTCATCATGTGTCATCTTCACATGACCAACAAAACAGCCAGACATAGCACCTTCTTCATCTGAAACTTGATTGTGGATTTCACCTCATCAACTTTGGCCACCATGTTTTCATTGTGTGTCAGCAGGGAAGGGAATTTACCAGCCTTATTTAGGCCTGGACCCAGGATTCGTGGAATCTGCTCTATCAAAGACTCTGAGGCCAAAAAGGCATCATACTTCTTGGCYAGCTTCTTGACCAACTTCTTATTCTTGTTGAGCTTCTTCAATGCCTCSATGTCCATGTGGGGGATATCCACAGCCTTGGCCTCGTCACAGTGYTGCTGGTCCCCCAGGACGCACACAGAGAACTTAGGGCAGGGAGTGGACTTAAGCCTGGCGGTGCCCGAGAAGCGCTGTCCTTCTGGGGATCATAGTTCTTCAAGCTGATCTGCAGCTCCACCATTTCCAGAAACTTGCGATGGTTCCCATGCAGGACTTCCCACACCGCCTTGTACAGGGTGTCGCCAGAGACTTTGCTGCTCATGGTTGCTCGCGCCGCAGTAACAGAAAGAGCGAGAGGGAGCTTTCTGAAGCTGGCCAGGCTGTGTGTGTGTGGGGGGGCAGCAGCTCCAGGACAAGCATCAGGCAGGACCGGGGATGAGAGTCCTTGAGGGAGGGCAGGCTGGCCGGACGTCTGGCTGCCCCGCCCGGCTTGCTCTCTCCATGCATAGCCGCACATTTTCATCTGACCTTTTTCTAAGTTTAGGTTGTTCCCCTCAGAACCTCGAATAATTACCTTAACATGGCTTCACTTGAGAGCAGAGCCAGTCAGGAACCCACCCCTCGCCCCGTGTCCCCCCACCATGCCCGGTTCTGGGCACCACCCTCTGGCTCCTCCTCCTTTTGTTAATCTGGTGGCGTCCAGTTCACGTGTTATGCTGTTGCTGTATATACCTGTGTTTGCACACGTTTACACGTGCACATGGATCGTGCTTTGCTTTGTGTGATTTTGTTTTCCTGTAGGGCTGGGAGGGAACCCAGGGCCACACCTCGAGCCACACTTTAGACAAACTTCCATAAATGGCAGTGGGCTGCCTTGATGCTCCCCACCAGCCGTGGTTTTGACGTTGGCCGGCCTTCCTGGCCAGTCCACTCGGTACGCACGGGGACTGCCACAGATGAGGCTTGTCTTGGGAAATGTGTGCGCTCAGTTTGAAAATTGAAGACCTTTGTCAAGAGGAAGAATAGAAGGAAGTGTGCCTTGACATTGTTGGTGGGAACGCTGTGCGGGGAGGGTTTTAGGCGTGTGATCCCTGGCTGCTGTGAGCCAGGGACTGGCAGGAGGACCTAGTCCAGGAGCCCTGCTGCCCGGGCAGAACCAGCTTCAGGAATAATGCAGAGTGATGAGTTGGCAGAGGGGAAGTGGCCTTCTCCTCTCTGGTGGCAAAGGTTACTGAGGAGGACCTCGCCTTGATTTTGTGGCTTGTGTCACCTTTCTGAGGAAATTAAAGATGGTGTTTCTGATTATACAAATGTTTTCTTACTGA